TGGGCGGGGCGAGTCGGCCTGCGAGGGGTGAGCCTCTCGGTGCTAGGCGCCGTTGCTAGGGCGACGGTTAGGCAGGAGCGGCGGCAGCAAGGCTGGGAAGCTGCTTGAAACCTCGGGGTTGGAGCGACCGCTGCGGCGATGGCTCACGAAGGCTCGGTGAGCTTCAGCTCGGCTGGGGGTGCGTTGGAGCACCGGAATCGGCCTTTAAGGTCGGTGGCGGGAACCATGCATCGGGTAGGCTCCGCGCTAGTCGGCGCCGGCCCACCATGGGAGCGTTGGTGGTGACCAAGGAAGCCACGTCGGTCTCGGGCAGAAAATCTACATCTCCACCACGCACGCTAACACGCTCAGCCACAGTCGGAACCTGAAGGAAAAAGTCAAATGGGTGGTGCAGAACCCAAGAACAGGGCTTTTTGGAAGCAGCTAATGCATGTAATAAGTCTCTTATACTGAGGTACCCATTCAAATGGATAAACCAGAATTGGTCAGGCATTGGGGAGAGGTGTTGCTAAATAAACTCCCTTTCAAGGATTTTTAAGAGAAAGAAATGGATTAAACAACTCTGAGGCTGCACTTAAAAGTCAAATTGTTTATGGGGCGCCTGGGTGGCTCAGTCAGTTGAGCGCCCGGCTTTGGCTCAGGTCATGATCTCAGGGTTTGTGAGTTTGAGCCCCGCGTCGGGCTCTGTGTTGACAGCTCAGAGCCTGGAGCGTGTTTCAGATTGTGTCTCCCTCTCTCTCTCTGCTCCTCCCCCGCTCGTGCTCTGTCTGTCTCTCTCTCTCAAAAATAAATAAAACATTAAAAAAAATTTTTTTTAAGTCAAATTGTTTAAAAGCCAAGGAAACTTTAAATAAAACAGATTTGAGGAGGTTTTGTGCTATAATATTTCTAGCCCCTCTGGTCAGGCCATGTCTAGGCACGGTCGCTATCACCGGTGCCACCCATGAAACACTGGGAGGGTAAATACAAGAAACAGACTCTCCTCTCCGGACCCTGCGTGCCCTGCTCTGGCCAAGCCTGGTCTGGGCTGTGGGTTATTCCCTGGGTTTGCCACCAGGGCTGTTTTCACCAGCAGAAAAGGGAAATGACACTTAAGAGATTTTGAGGTTCAGTGTAAGGTTTAGGAAACACCAGATTTGGGGGAGAATGAATTTGGGAGGACATCTGGTATGAAGCAATAAGGTTGGGGTGAGGAGGCAAAGATTTGGGAAGATTACATTTAGAGGTACATTTTGGAAAGAACCAGGTTCAGAGAGACTTGAAGGAAAGTGAGGAGGTTCCCAAGAATCTGCTCATAAATTTCTTATGTCCCTAAAATGAATTTATGGAACCAATCTTTTTCTTTTTACATGGCATTTTCTTGATTATAAAAGGATAAAGCCTCATTATAGTACAGAGAACTTATAAAATAGAGAAGAGCACAAGAAATAAACATATCCACTGTTACAGTTTTGGTGTTTTCCTTTTCTTTCACACATAATGGTTTATACAACTGAGATGATATTGATATGTCATTTTATACCCTGTTTCTATCATGTATCATTACATCATAAGTATTTTCATGTGCCATTGTAAATTCTTCCTAAAGATTATCTTTAATCATTGCATAATATTCCATAATATAGAGGGCACACAATTAACCATATATTCTGTTACACATATGTTTTAAATATGTTTAAATGTTTTAAATATTATGCTATTGTAAATGACAGCTCAGAGAGTATTGAAGGATATATTGTGATTTTCACTTCGGAATATGCCTTAAAGGAAGGAAGGTTGGACACCTTTTCAAATGTTTGTTAGTCATTTGCAGTTCCACTTTTGTGAAATGTTATGTCCTTTGCTTATCCTTGGGGTCTTAGGCTTTTTATTATTTTTATATGAGTTTTTAGTATACTTGGTAATATTTATCCTTTCTTATATTTATTGCAATTTTTTGAAAGCAGGATAAAGTCAGGTTCTAGGGGCAGACAGACCTGCATATGAATTATGACTCCACTACTTTCTTGCTGTGTAATCTGGGCAAGTTCTGCAAAATGAGGATAAAAGTAGCATGTAGTCTAAAAATGTAAGACTTGAGTCGATTGTATGTAAATGAAACATTTAAGTGCCAGTAAATGGTAACTACTGTCGGCTTGTACTTAGGAGTGTTTTTAAAATATGTACAGGAAAAAATTTGCATATATATATATATATATATATACATACATATATATAGCTATTTCTTTATTATTTCTTACATAGCTTTTATGCTTCGGTAGGTCTTTCTCGCCCGGAAATTGTATGACAATTTAACCTATTTTTTCCTACATTTAATTTTTTGCTTATATTTTTATTTTATTTGCATGTGTGTATCCTTTAATTCATCTGGAGTTTATTTAGATGTATATTGTGAAATGAGGATCTAAGTTGATTTAGGGGAGGGAGGAGGCTCTAAAGAGCACTAACCATTTATTGACTCGTTAAGTTCTTTGAACTCTCAAGGACTTTGAACCTTTTGAACTAGTGCCAATAGCAGGGACTGTGGCCTTAGAGCTATACATAGTTTGGGTATACTCTGTAATGTCAAGCAAGTGATGGTTAATTTGTGTTGTTTCAGTTTCTTTGTAAAATGGATTTAGTGAGCTGTTAAGAAAATTAAATTAGCTAGGTCGAACATCTAAAAATGCATCTGACACATCGTAGGCTCTTAGTGGACTGCCTGTTCCTCTCAAAAGGCTTTTCCTTCCTACTGGACAACTTGAGAAAGCTTCTTCCTAGCCTATAGCTGCGTCCCCATTCCACTTTTCCAGGTTTCCTGCCCTGATTGCCCCGTTCTTTCCTCACAGAGGCAGATCCGGGACCGCGGGGTGACCCGATCCAAGGCGGAAAAGGCGCGACCGCCTACGGTTCAGGTACCACAGGTGGACATCGTGCCTGGGCGGCTCACGGAAGCGGAATGGATGGCGTTCACGGCCCTCGAGGAGGGAGAGGATGTTGTGGGGGACATCTTGGCTGATCTGATGACGCGAGTAATGGACTCTGCCTTCAAAGTCTACCTGACCCAGCAGGTGGGTCTGGATGGGGGTTTCCAGACCATCTCCACCCCGCCCCCCCAAACTGGGCTAAGACCCTCTCTCGCCTCCGTAGTGCATTCCATTCACCATCAGTCAGGCCCGGGAGGCGATGTTGCAGATCACCGAGTGGCGCTTCCTGGCCAGGGACGAGGGAGAATCTGCAGTGGCCGAGGACCCCACGTGGGGCGAGGACGAGGAACCTTTGGCATGCACGACGGATGCCTGGGCTCAGGGATCAGTGCCCGTGCTGCAAGCGCCCGCCTCTGTGGGGCTGGAGGAGATCTTCCAAGGCGAAGTAAGCACAGCCCCCAGCTCCCTCCGCCCCTCATCCCCCTACTCTGTGCCTCGCCGCCGCCGCTGCGTCTTCCTTCTCCTCACGGCCTCTCTGGATTCCTCCACCCTTAGTTCCTCTCTCCCCTTTCCAATGTGTCACTATCCACCCTCCACCCCTAACCTCGGTGTATATCCCTAGGACCGAGGGAGCGTGGACCAGATCTCTTTAGGAAGATCGTGGACGGCGAGAGGCTCTCAGGAGCAGATGGAATCTTGGGAGCCTTCTCCAGAGCTGCGAGTCACTCCGGGCCCCCCACCTACCCCAGAGCTGTTTCAGGAGACAGGGAACGAGGGCCTTTTAGAGGAACTGGACGTCCAGGCCGGAGACCATCAGTCTTCGGCTGGATCCTTGAACTCGAGCAGCCAGCTGTCGGTGGAGATGGCTCTCGACGGCAGTCCCCCACCTTTTCCGGATTTGTCCCAGGTAGCCAGCACCCAGGCATCAGCCCAGAGGGTACCGCCCCGCAGCTCCCAGTTCTCGCTGGAGGACCTCTATCATTGCACCGCCCAGCCGCACGCGGCTGGGGACTGGCTGAAGCTCAAGAAGGAGAAAGTGCCCCGCATGGACGGCCCCTCCTCCTCATTCGAGCCACAGGAGCCTAGGTGCGCGGACGCGCTGCGGGGCGCGCGTCACTACAGGGTGGGACGCATGGCCCGGGCGCGCCTGGACCCCGCGCGGCTGCCGCGCCACTGGGTGCGCCCGCTGGCTGAGGTTCTGGTTCCAGACTTCGAGGCGCGCCCGCTGGAAGCCTACCGCGGGAGCAAGAGGGGCGGGAAGACGGAGGCTGGGGCCAGACCCCTAGCACCGGGCCCCAGTGTCCGTGTCTCCCCAACAGTTTTCTTTTCTCTCTCGCCTAGTGCTCCTTTCCGTGTCTTGGGCCCGGGCCCTGCTCTCCAATCCCCCTCTTTGAGCTTAGGCCCACCACCACTAGGCTTTGGGTCAAAGTTGGCCTTTCCCAGCCCTGGGCTTCGCTTTCTTGCCACCCGCCCAACCCTCCAGGATCTGGCCCGGAGCCCCAGCCCTAAACAGTGGCCAGGTGCCAAGTGGCCCAGTGGCTGGGAGGGGGCGGCTGAGTTGCTGGGCGAGATGTGGGTAGGCCGCTGCCACGTACCTCTGCATGGCCTTCATCCCAGGGACCTGGAGGGTCAGGATCCACACAGGTGGACTCAGGCATCCCGAGTTCTCGAGGCCACGTCCCAGGTGATGTGGAAGCCCATGTTGCTGCCTGAGGCAGTGAAGCTGGCTCCTGGTGTGAGCTTGTGGAACCCAACCACCCAGGTGCTGCTCAGATCTGCAGTACCCCAGCAGGCAGACACAGAAGGCAGCATCTCTCTTCCCATCCAGCAGCACCCCATCCAGACTGGTGCCCCAAAGCCTCAGGTGACCATGAGACAGCTAACGAAGAACTCAACACCCAAAGTGTGGCCACTCCTCTCCAAGGACCTGACCCATTCTGGGTCCTGAAGCTCAGCCAGTACTTTCCTTCTTTCTACTTGCCAGAATAAACACCTCAGTTGCTTTAAGAGTTGGCCTGATGTCTGTCAGTTTCTTCCAAGGGTGCTTACTCAGGAGCAGTTGTCCTGACGGCCTGGAAGGTTGTGGAACACTGGGTCCAGGGAATAACCCCATTTCCACCCTTAGGAGAGACCCTGCATTAGGGCCAAGGTTGCTCCCCAGCAGAGGCATTCTGGAGAACCATCTCCCTCTCTACAAAGGAATAGACATAAGGGCTACAGGTAGGGTCTGCTTCAACTGGACGAACTTAAGAGTCTCTTTGCAGTAGGGGACTGAGGGGACAGCCCTGCTTAAGCACACCGTGATTAAAGATGGGAGAAATTTGATATTTTGCTTCTCCAGTTCTGGAGCTCATAAATTCACCTTAGGGTGGAAGTCCAAGTTTCACTTGTAGACCACTATGAGCCTACACAGGAGAACACTGACTCTAGGCCAAGGATAGCAGCGAGGCAATCAAGTGACTAAGGCACTCAGTTGAAGGTGGAGTTCACTCTCAGTTTCAAACAGGTTGCTTGAACAAATCAGAGAGTAACTGCCTCTTTAAATTTTGTGTCCTGGACAGCACACCAGCCTGACCGCTCAACCCCACTCAGCTTTGACTAGCTCCTCCCCAACTTACCTTCACTTCGGCACAACACTTCTGGTAGCAGGTCAGCAAGTTTTTGCAATGTTGCAGTGGTCTCTACTCAGCACCCTTGTCTGGAGCCCTGGCTCTGTCCTGCTCATTCTGGTCCTCCTGCATAGACTATGTATGTGGCCTTGGCATAAGTCTCATCTTTGGGACCTCCAGCACTGCTCCACAGACTTGACTGGGAAGACAGCGGTGGTGACTGGAGCCAACAGTGGTGAGTGCCCTTCTCATCCTGCCACCTCATTTGGCGTCTCAGTCCAGTCCCCCAGTAGCCCCAGTGAGGCTGGCCAGAGGGCCAGCACGCACTTTAGTCACACCCCAGACTAGCCTATTCTGAAACTGCCCTTCTACAGGTATTGGGAAGGCCGTGTCCCAGGAGCTGGCCCGCCGTGGGGCCCGGGTGATCCTTGCCTGCCGTAACTGGGAGTGTGGACAGCAAGCCCTGGCTGAGATCCAAGTAGCCTCGAAGAACAATTGCCTCCTGCTTGGCCAGGTGGACTTGAGCTCTATGGCCTCCATCCGTAGCTTTTCCCGGTGGCTTCTGCAGGAGTGTCCTGAGATACATCTGCTGGTTAACAACGCTGGAACCTGCGGTACATGCCTTGAACTGCTGCTCCCAGACACATTGCAGGAGCCTCCTTTCCAGTTCAGGGACCCTAAAACAGGCACCCCCAAACCCAACTGGTGCATCCTGCTGAATAACTTTAATTCGTACGTGATCCTAAAAAGCCTACCTTGAGTAATAGCCCCCATCCTTGCACGTACATGTTCCTGTGGAGTTTCTACTGAATGCCAATATATGCCCTAGGTCTGTATCCCTCCATCACCCACTACCTATGTTCTCATTTCCTCCCAGGATTTCCCAAGACACTTACCCAAGAGGGCCTTGATCTCACCTTTGCCACCAACTATGTTGGGCCCTTTCTGCTTACAAATCTACTCCGAGGTAAGGAAGGATGGCTGCCTACCTTCTGTGCTGCCGTCACTTCTCATTCCCCTGGCATTTCCGTAGCTTACTGTTTCCAATGGCTACTTCCTTTCCCTTGGCCTCAGCTGTTCACCGAGTGATGACACAGTAAGCTTTTTGATGCACACAGCAGGGCAACCCGCCTGACCTAAGTCAGGACTGGGAGGCTGGTACTAAAATCAGTCAGGCCAAAATATAACCAGCAAGGGGATATAAGATCCACCTCTCTTTCCCCCAGCTCTGAGTTCTAGGTAAACCAGTAGAGTCAGTCATCTCGACAAGAGCTTCTTAAGGGTGGCACTAGACCACTAGGAATATAGACACCAAGAATGCCTACTTCCTGCTCTCAAATAGCTCAATATCCCCCAGGAATCTAGACAGAACACATCACTGTCTTGGACCCAAGTCCTTTGACTTTCTGATTTTTGAATCTTTTCTACTTAAGGAGGTTTGGGTTCTTGCTGGGGAAGCTGGGGCAGAGTGAGTGGTGGGCACTTTCTTCCTAACATTTTCTCCTGGATTGCACCCTCTTTAAAATAAAATCAATTTTGGGGGTTAGGTAATATGTGTCCAAAACATAAAACTGAAAGCGTACAAAAGGGGTGACATTTCAAAAACTCTCCTCTCAGGGGCGCCTGGGTGGCTCAGTCGGTTAAGCAGCCAACTTTGGCTCAGGTCTTGATCACTCAGTTTGTGAGTTCAAGACTTGCTTTGGGCTCTGTGCTGGCAGCTGGGAGTTCAGAGCCTGGACCCTGCTTTGGATTCTGTGTCTCCCTCTCTCTCTGCCCTCCCCCGCTCACTCTCTGTCTCTCAAAAACTGAATAAACATTAAAAACAAACAAACAAACAAACAAACAAACAAACAAACAAACAAAAACCCTCTCCTCTTCTCCTTGAAAATCAGCTACCCGTTTGCCTCTTAGGAGGCAGTTTGTGTTGCCAGGATCTCATGGGCTCTTTAGTGGCTGATAAAATTAGCCACAAATGGAAAGTGAACAAGCACAAGGCAAAACTGTATGGGTTTGCAAGTAGGAATGTTTTGTCTCCTTTGCAAAAATTCTAACACCCTGGCTGCACCTTGCTTAGTAGTAGGTTCTTAAACTGTCTTTTCTCTTCTTCTTCTCTTATCTATTCTTCTTCTTGCCACTTCTAGAAATCACTTTTCACCATATTACTTGCTTAAAATCCTTGGAAGGAAGGTACTCTATCCTTTACAGGAGAGACTCTAAACCCTTTATCTCCACTTACAGACCCCCTGCAGACTGAGAGCCTCGCCTTTTGCCCTTCCTTAATCCACACTTTTCTCTCTAGCAGACAATCTGTAGCTCTTGGTCCGCACTTTCCCCCCCTCCAGCTGTGCTTTTTGCACATGTAGTTGCCTCTATCTGCACTGTCCTCTCCCACTCTTTTACCCTGACTAACTTTATTTAGTTCATCCACCAAGACTGAGCACAGATACTGCCCGTGCTGTGAATCTTGTCCTTCACCTCCCCCAGCAGCCTCCCATTTATGGGGCTCCCTTAGCCCTTGTACACATCTCTGTTCCTGCATTGACATTGTTCCAGGATGATCGGTCTCCAGTTAGGCTGTGAGCCCCTTTAGTCTTTATGTCACTATGCCTAAAAGTTTGGGGTCTGTTCTCTTTAAGAATAATTCTTTTTTCCAGCAAAATTTTGGCTAAATACCACCTGCTCAATTTTTCATTTGTGATTCTTAATTTAAATGTAGGGCTCAAAATAGTTTTAGCATTTTGAACACTGTAAACTCATATGTGACAACTATTTTTAGTATTTTATAGAATCCAGACTATATATATATATATACATATAAATGTATATATATATGTATATATATATACATATATATATATATAGTAAGGCACTTAACATTTTTTTTAATGTTTATGTATTTATTTTGAAAGGGGGAGGGGCAGAGAGAGAGGGAGAGAGACAATCCCAAGCAGACTCCGTTCTGTCAGTGCAGAGCCTGATGTGGGGCTCGATCTCATGAACCATGAGATCATGACCTGAGCTGAAATCAAGAGTGGGACACTCAACTGACTGAGCCACTCAGGTGCCCCCCACCCACTTTTTTTTTTTAAGATTTAATTTGTACTATTTATTGTATTTATTTATTTATTTTTTTACTTTGGAAGATAGTGGTTTGTTTGTTTGTTTTTTTAACACTTTCCCAAGTTCCTCTATACACATTTCTTTCCCCACTCAACCTAGCACCCTTATGTCCTTAGCACCTATCTTGGTGTCTGCCACGATCCAGAGACCTAACGAACATTTGGGTGACAAATATGTGAAAGACAGGTTACATGATGTCTCCAGTCTCTCCTTTTCCCTCTTGGCCACCAATGAGGTAAAACATAAATAAGGATCCATTAAATTAGCTCCAGCTGGCAAGTGGAAGAAAAGGCAAAAGTCCAAACTCTACAATGAAAGAGGAGGAAAAACATTAGGAAAGTAGTTAATGAAAATGAGTCTCAGTTCACATTAAGCTGTCCTGTGCCTAGCCTGGGGAATTTGGGGGGTGGACAGTGACCCTATCCTGAAAATCCTGGATGGTCCCTGCTCTCTTGGAGTCACCTGGAGAGGTAGGTTGGGGAGTGGGCATGGGAGTTCACTCCAGAACTTGGATCGAATGAGTGTGGTTCTCTTTCTACCCAGGGGCCCTACAGCGGGCAGGATCAGCCCGGGTGGTGAATGTGTCTTCCTTTCGGCATGCACATGGGTATGTTGATGAGGAACATCTGACAGGGGCTGGTAAACCCTTGATCTTTAACCAGAATTATGACTGCAGCAAACTGCTCTTGACCTCCTTCACTGGGGAGCTTGCCCGGAGACTTCAAGGGACAGGTAATTGCCTGTGAAACCCCCTTATTCCTCCATTCCCAACACCACCTCCCAACAGTCCACATCTCATCCCAATATGTTCTGGCTAGTGTCCCCCAACCCAGCTGTTAATCTCTGCCATTTTTCATCTATGCAGCCTGTATTTCACTCAAGTCTGTCTTCACATCTCCCTTTCAATCTTTCCAACTCTCTTATCACTCCTAACATCCCTTTCCTCTCAGTATTTTCCAATACCAACACCATCCGTTATGTTCCTCCTAAAGTTCACCCAATGCTTTCAAATACTTATGTCTCCTTACTGGCTTGAACACTACCATTCGTGTAAGTTCCAGAGGACCGACTTCCTGGACACCACCCCAAGCCTCTGGTTACGTCTGCCCACAGACCTGGTAGGATCTTTGCATTATTGCATACTGGAGAACCGCACTTAACTCTTTCTTCCCATGCTCTACTTGTGTCTCATCCTTTCAGGTGTGACTGTGAACTCTGTGGACCCGGGTATAGTGTACACAAGTATCATGAGGCATTTTTCTTGGTCATACCGCTTCCTCTTTTGGCTCTACAGCTTCTTCTGTAAGGTGGGTAGGGGAGGAGCTGGCTAGCCTGAAGAGGGTGGGGCAGGGCTCTGCTTCTGTGTGTCCCCAGTAGGCTAAAGTCAGCTTGGCATGACTCCTTCTCTTCCCCCATGTCTCTACAGGATGTCAGACAAGGCGCAGTCCCAGTCCTCTACCTGAGCTTGGCAAAGGAGCTGGATGGCATTTCTGGAAAATATTTTAACAGTTCCTGTAGGATAATTCTTCCCGCGAAAGCTGCTCAGGATCCTCAAGCGGCCCAAAGGCTCTGGAATGCCACGGTCCAGCTAACAAACCTGGACAAGATGGACTGATCCCCCGTGCCCCCAGCCCTAACTTTGCCATCCTCCCTGATTCCCAGCCCCTACTCTGGTCCTGCCTTTTGTTTGTTGGCTCCAAGCATCAATCACCTTGTCTAGTATAGCAATCACGTCCTTTTCCTGTTGCCTCAGTGGCATGAGAACTCAGATTAGCCAGGGGACAGTTTTAGCTTCTACTTTACTGCCAGTTCTCTAATGGAAGTGTTCATTCCTTGGATACTGGGATCTCCAAATCTACAGAGTCCCACGTTGTGGTGACCGGTGGGGGTGTGTGTGTGTAAAACTCCTTCCAGTGGGGATTAGGGGTGCTGGAAGAAGGGAAACTTCCACCTGTATCGCTTAGTTTCTACCCATGTACTTGCTGACTCTGGGGGAGACAGCACCACACAATGCCATCTTGATTAAAGCATATACCACATCCTGTAGGATAGCAGTCTGACTTCACAGAGTGTTGTCTCTCAACTGGTACTGTAACTGAGCCTGCAGATGATCATTCCACATTTCCGTTAAACCAGCTGCTCCTGGGTGATGAGCCAAGCATTCAGATCAGTGAATTCTGGTGGTGGGAGCCAATTGTTTTTTCCCTCAGGTCTTGGTTCATCTGTATAAATTTGGGGATCGGCTCTTCAAATTTCACACACATACATGAATACTTTTTGTGGTTGCATTCCATCTATGATGTCCAGTTTTCCTAACCTTGGACAAGTATACTCCTATCTATTTAACTCTCTTTAATATCTTTACCAAATTTTCAATAATTTTATCCATAAAATCTTGCACCAGTTTTACTATATTTAATTCAGGTACCTTAATTTTGACACTATTGTAAATGGGGCTCTTTAACCTTTGTGTGCTGATTGTCTATCAAACGACTTGGAAAAGTTGTCTAATTTTAATGAGTTCTCTGTAGGTGCTTTTGGTTTTTCTACATAGAAAATCACCCCATCTAGGAAAAATAAGTTTTACTTCTTCCCTTTCAAGTATTCTAATTTTTGTTTCTTTTTCTAGGAGACCCTCATAGATATTCTAGCGTTAAACCGACCCTGTATTTCTGAAGTAAACCCAGTAAGCCCCACCTAGCATTTCTGGTCGCAGTGTTGTATAGACATTGCTAAATTGAACATGCTCATTATTGTTTAGCACTTTGCACTGTGTTCATAAATGAGATTGACCTATACTTTTCTTCTTAAACTTTTATTTAAGCAATCTCTGCACTCAATGTTGGGCTTGAACTCACTGCTCCAAGAGGAAGAGTTGCACACTCTTCCAGCTCAGCCAGCCAGGTGCCCCTGACCTGTACTTTTCTTTGCCTATATTGCCATTGTCTGGTTTTGCTGTCATGGATGTATTCATTTTATACAATGAATTGGGGATTTGTGTTAATACATGGACGTCATCTGAGAAGCAGTTGCCAAGTTAGGATTGAATGTTCAAGAAACCTATTATGGGAAACGGCTGCAAGAGAAAATGGGAAGGAAGCTGGGAGAAGCTGAGAGGGCCACCAGACTGTGATCTGAGTATGACCCTGAGTGAGGGAGGGAAAGAAGGCTGGTTGGAGCCTCTTAGAGTACAGTGCAATGATTTTTCCATTTGTGGATTCCCTCTCTTGTTTTGAAAGTATGCAATCTATTTATGTCCTTTAGTGGTTAGTCAAAAAATTTCAACCTGCCTATTTGAAATTAGGTGGGCCTGTCCTAATCAGGTGAGCCCTCTAAAAGTGTTTAGGTTTTCCCAGAAGCCAGAAAGACTCTCCTGTTTACTATGAAGAAATAAATTGCCACATTGTGGAGAGGGCCATTCCTCGGGAACTGAATTCTGCCAATACCCAGTGAGTCTGGAAGAGCACCCGGAGCCCAGATGAGATTGCAGCCCTGCAGTACATGGTGATTTCCGCCTGGTGAGACCCTGAATAAAGGATCCAGCTAACCTGTACCCAGACTCCTCATCCACAGAAACAGACAGTACCCGTGTTCTTTCAAGCCACTGAGTGTAGTAATTGGTTATGCAGCAATAAAAAGCTCATATGGGATCCAAAGAACCGTCTCAGTTTTATTTGCTTGAAAATGTCTTTATTTCACCATTTTTGAGGGATCATTTTGCTGGCTAAGGAATTATAAGCCGACAAGTATTGTCTTTTATCTCGCTGAGCATAATTTCTTTGTCTCCTGGCTTTCATTGTTGCTATGAGAAATCAGATATTAATCTAACAGTACTTTGTAGGAAATGCCTTTTCTGTGTTGCTCCTTTTATGGTTTTATTATTGTCATTGCTTTTCTGCAGTTTCACTACTTTTAATCCAGATGTGTATTTCTTTTTGTTTGTTCTGGTGGGAATCCCTTGGGTTTCCTGAATCTGAGGATATATATGTCTCCTGTATTTCTATTTATTTATTTGATAAATCTGACACGTTAAATTTTATAAGTTTAACGTGTACAGTGTGTTACTTTGATACATTTATATATGTAATATGACTGCCATTGAAGCAATATTTATCACATCATTACAGTACAGTATTATTGTCTATGTCCATCACACCATGCATCAGACTTCTATGACTTGTTTTCTACTCGTTACAAGTTTATATCCTTAAACACCATTGATCTTATCCTTCCTATCCTCCATCTTGTAGTAACCACCATTTTACTTTGTTTTTTTCACAAGTTTGACTTTTTTAGATTGCCCATATAAATGATATCATACTATATTTGTCTTTCTTCATCTGACTTATCTCACTTAGCATAATGTACTTAAGGTCCATCCGTGTTGCCACAAATGGCAAGAGATCCTTTTTTTCTCATGGCTCAATAATATTTAATTATCTATCTATCTATCTATCTAGATATATACCTACACATATCTGTATATGTATAATACATACATATATATATATGTATATATATACACACACATACGTATAGTAATCCATTCATCCATTGATGGATGTTTGGGTGTTTCCATATTATTTTGGCTATTGTGAGTAATGTTGGGATAAACATGGGTGTACATATATCTTGTTGAAAACCTGTTTTCATTTTCTTTGGGTATATACTCAGAAGTAGAATTGCTGGGCCATACAGTAGATCTGTTTTTAATTTTTTAAGGAAACTCCATATTGTTTTCACCGTGGTTAGACTAATTTACATTCCCCCCAACAGGTTTTATAAGGCTTCCATTTTCACCTCATCCTCACCAGCACCTATTGTCTCTTGTCTTCTTAATGATAGCATTTTCGTTAACAGATAAGAAGTGATACCTCATTGTGGTGTTTATTTTTATTTCCCTGGTGATTAGTGATTTGGAACAACTTTTCATGTGCCTGTTGGTCACTTTTATTGCCCTCTCTGGAAAACTTTCTATTTAGTTCTTCTGGAAATTCTTTAATCATATTGTTTTTGTTGTTGTGTTAGTTCTTCGTATATTTTGGATATTAACCCTTTATTCGATATATGGTTTGCAAAAATTTTCTCCCATTCTGTAGGCAGCCATTTCATTTTGTTAATTATTTCTTTTGTTGTGCAGAAGCTTTTGAGTTTGATTTGGTCCTGTTTCTTCATTTTTACTTCTGAGTTTGGATAGTGGTGATGGTTGTGCTGGTTTTCCTTTACACTTCAAAAGTATTCTAGCTGATCTAAGAATTAAATTGACGTGGGACAGATTAATAGGAGAAAAATTCTGAGTCTCCCTCTCTCTCTGCCCCTCCCCCGTACTCACACTCTGCATCTCTCCCTCAAAATAAATAAACATTAAAAAAAAAGAGAGAGATAAGGGACATAGAAGAGACTTTGATCAAACAGGCAGTGCTAGGTTCCTTCCTATTTACCACCCCTAGTTAATATTATAATGTAGTTATCTATGGTGAGAGCTCTCTTCCTGAAGAGGGTCCTCTATTTAAGTTCTTTTAAGCAGTTAGGTGGGAGGTGAAAGTTTCTTCCTCTTTTGGGCCTTGATTATTTTTAGCTTGAAATAAGCTGCATGCCAAAGTGACACATTTTGGGGTAGACTGCCCTTGGCTCCTACAGTTGCAGAATAATGTAAGTGTACTTAGTTCCATTGAACTGTATGCTTAAAAATGGCTAAAATGAGCATCCGACTCTTCATTTCAGCTCAGGTCATGATCTCATGGTTGTGAGATCCAGCTCCTCATCAGGCTCCACGAGGAGCACAGAGTCTGCTTAAGATTCTGTCTCCCTCTGCCCCTCCTCCACTTGTACTCTCTCTTTCTCAAAAAAAAAAAAAAAAAAAAAAAAGGTTAAAAGGGTAAAATTTATGTATGTGTTACCACAAGAAAAAGTATGTGCATACAGTGCCTTTTAAATTTATTTTCATATGCCATTTCTCTTTAATTGCAGGGAATGGAGGCCATTTCTACTAAAATTACAGATGCACTTATTATTTGATCCAGATTTATCCTATCTGTATATACCTACTCACATACGGAGTGTCATGTGTACAAGGTGATTCACTGTAGTCTTGTTTGCAACTGGCAAAAGACTGGAAATAAAGTATCCCCCCCAGAAGAGGCTGGTTCATAAATTATGTATATTCAGGCAATAGAGTACTATGCAGCTGAAAAAAATGAATAAGGAAGATCTCTATTTACTGATTTAGAAAGATCTCCAGGATATATTAGGTAAAGAAACCAAGGTACAAGTATATGTAGCATGCTACCTTTTGCATAAGAAATGGGAGGAGTAAGACCATGTATTCTTATTTGTTTGTATTTGCATAAAACATTTAATGGATAAGCAAGAAACTATAAAAACAAGGGTTACCTGTAGTGGGCAGGGGGAAGGAGTGGATGAGAACTAAGTTTGAAGGGAGGTTTTTCAGTGCATACTGTTTATATTGATTTGATCTTTACACCCCAATGTGGGGTGTAAACACATGACCCTGAGACCACAAATCAAGTGCTCTACTGAGACAGCCAGGCACCCCAGGTTGTTTTCACTCTTAGATTAACTGAGATAAACGAAACAATAGTTATCATTCAGGCTTTTTACATGGGTTCATTTAATCTTCTAACAACCTAATAATATAGATACTATTATTAACATTCTCATTTTACAAGTGAGGAAACAGGGACATGGAAGGAGTTAAGTAACTCACCTAAGATCTCACACAGCCCACAAATTGCAGTTAGAATTCAAACCCTCCATCTATCAAATCCTGGCTCTCCCAACATCCTTGAACAAGTATCTTTGAACACTTGTCCTATTATTTCATTTCTTTGGCTACACTATTAGAAGTGGTTACATTGGAGGCACCTGGGTGGTTCAGTCCGTTAAGCTTCTGACTTCGGCTCAGGTCATGATCTCCCGGTTTGTGGGTTCCATCTCCTCTTAGGGCTCTGTGCTGACAGCTCAGACTCTGCTTCGGATTCTGTGTCTCCCTCTCTATCTGCCCCTCTCCGTCTTGCGCTCTCTCTTTCTCTCAAAAATAAACATTAATAACAACAACAACAAATTTTTTTTTAAGTAATGCTTTAAAAAAAAAGTGGCTACATTGGGTCAAGGAGTTTGTCCTTTTAATTTTTTTTCTTTCTAAATTAAAAGAACCAAAATGCCATTATATACATTGGCATTATTTTACATTCCCATCATAAGGGCACGAGGGGGGTGCCTGGTTGGCTCAGTTGAGCGTCTGATTCTTCGTTTCGGCTCAGGTCGTGGTCTCGAGGTTCGTTTCATGAGCCTGCTTGTTATCTTCTCCCTCTCTCTCTGCCCCTTCCTCAGCTCGAGATCTCTCTCTCTCTCTCTCTCTCTCTCTCAGAATAAAAAAAAAACAAGGGCATAAGAATGCCTGTATCCCCATATGGATAACACTGAGTAGCAGCAAAATTTATTTTTTTCCTCAAGCGAACTGATGAGGTATGGCTTGCCACTAATGTTTTAATTAGCAGTTTAGCACTCAAAAGCTTAGCGAATGACCCCTGGGGAGCCATTTGCCTAGGGCAACGAGTCGTCCAGTCCCGGTGCGCTGTCTCCCCTCGGCCGGCAGAGGGCGCAGGCTTAGAGGCTCCTCTCTCCTGTGGTCCTCGTTGGCTTCCCAGGCACAGTGCGCACGCGCATATTTCGCTCCAGGTGTCCAGCTTTGTGCCTGACCGAGGTCTCCTCGGCTGCGCTCAGCGCGCAGCTTTTAACCCTGGCTGGTTTTCGGGGAAGAGTAGCGTGTTCCCTG